AACACCAGAGAACTTAGCATTTCCAACTAAGATATCAATGGGTACCCTTTTAGCTTCTTGAATTTGAGAAGCACCAGCTACAGCAGTGATAAACAGCACAGACATCCTCTGCTGCAAAGATTTGGTATCGAGTATGAAAAGCACGGAAAATAAAGTTTGGTTTTAAACATTTTTCTTAAACTACAGTGAACAGTAAAACCTAACATAAAGCAGTATGCTAACAAAAACAATGGTAGACCTTAAACCTTGCATGTAGTGTTAGACGTGCTATAATAATTATTTTGGTGTCAACCAAAACATACATCTACTCATTTCTCCCAAGTCATACTTAAGTATCACAGCAGAAGGGCAAAACTAATGCAATTATAGATGATGTGCAGAATATATTACTGGTATCTGCTGGGCAATAAGCTGTATTATTATTCGCCTCTATCTATGATTTTCGAGGCTCTATTTTATTTATTTCCTGAAGCAAGGTTAACTGGTATCAGTGAAACCTCTAAAATGATGATAAATCCAAGAACTTTTTGTTTGGTTGTGGGTTTTTTAAAAGCAATACACCTAGATTTAGCAAGGCAGATGCCTGCCTTATATCTAAGTGATAAGGAAAGTTAGAAATTCTCCTACTGTCAGAACTACGCAGCACTAAAATGCATAAAGGCAAAGACACAAACCCCACACATAGGCTACAGAATATTAAAGCCTTATATGTGAACTGGAATTTGTCTTAGTAATCAATTTTTTTTAAGTCCTAACAATCTCTCTATTCACCTGGAATGGTTGAAAGACAAAGTTACCAGCCATACTTGTCAAAGAATTGACTTTGTTGTGCCCATCTGTCCAGTATCAGCATCCTACTCCATCCCAATTACACCACTGCACAAAAAGCACCTGGTTAAGACTACTGAACCTAAGTCAGCCTATTAGCCAGGCTTCTGTATTGCCTTCAAACTGCACCTTTTCCTCTGAGTCACAGTCATTACCCAGTACTTACCTGATAGTACAAATAAAGAATCAAAGTATCAACACTATAAGTTTTAGTCAATATTTTCCCTCTAACAAGATTCCATTTTTTAAATAAAACCGTGACTATTTTCTCCTCTCTTCCTCAAAGTAAGTGTGTGGGAGTTGGTGCAAAGCACTAGACTTGCAAAGTTCCTATGCCTGACATACTTCCACTTGACACATACAACACAGATTTCTCCCTAGGTATCTTCCATGTACTGTCATTGTAAAGATGCAGACTCCATTCTTCCTATTCTATTTTGTTGCCCTAGACTTCTGGTGAGAAGGCAACAGCGCTATTCAATGAAACTAAAAAGTAGCACATGAATGAATGCATCATTGAAGTATTAAGTGAAAAAATTCTGAATTCCAGACAGGCCAAATAAAAAAAATAATAAAAAAAAAAGAGCGGGAACAAAGTTAAGATAAAAGAATTTTGTATTTTCAATCCATTTTAGGAAGTCAAATGTTCTTTAAAAAAAACCCAACCAACAAAAAAACCCAAACAAAACCAAACACCACCACACACCCACACCCAGTAACTTAGATTCAATTAGCTAAGGGGAATTCCCAGCTTCCACAGAAATCACAGTCATAAGGCAAAAAACTGGTTTGGTAATTGTCTTCTTTTAAGGAAGTATCTTCTTAATAACAAATATTCATCTTAATGATGCTAGTCACAGTTGCAGCTATCTTGCTTCACAGTTCTCAAAACAAAGATACCACATTCACATAAAGTGACCCAGTAAGAAAAATCTGCAAGTCCCCAAATAAGAGCTATGAACATAACAAAGAATAGCAAAACCACAGCTTTTAAATACAACTGAATGCCGGAATTGTATAATGTACCAAAGACTCCATGTGCCAAAAATATACAAATCACCAATGCTGAGCGCAGATGATCATTATTTCTAAACAATCTAGAAGGGAAAGGAGAGACAGACAGACCACAGCTGAGCTGATCCAGTGATCATTTCCTTTCTCAGTTCACACATTTCATTGTGGTTTGGCAGAGTTCTGCCTAGATTGGAATAAAACAATGTTTGCTTTTTCAACTTCTTTGGTTTCAATGACGTTTTCTCTTCCTACCTTATTAAGAGTACAAAACATCTTCCAGATGTTCACGAAGCTTACATTTCTAGGAATCAAATCTTAGGATCATAGGATAATTCAGGCTGGAAGGGACCTCAGGAGGTCTCTGGTCCAACCTCCTGCTCAAAAAAGGACCAGGTGTGAGATCAGATTGGGTTGTTCAGGCTGTAATCCAGTCAGGTCTTGAAAAACTCCAAAGATGGAGATGGTACAACCTCTCTCAGTGACCTGGTCCAATACTTGACTGTCCTTATGGCAAACACATTCCCAACATTGTTAGAACACCTCTTGATTCAGTCTATGTCACTGCCTCTTGTCCTCCTGCCATGGACCTCTGTGAAGAGCCTGGGTATCTCATCTTGGTGAAGTCCTCACAGGTAGGGAAGGCTGCTATTCAAGTTCCCTGAAGTCTTCTCCAGGCTGAACAAGCCCAGCACTCCCAACCTCTCCTCACAGTGCAAGTGCTTTAGCTCACACACCAACTTGGTGGCCCTCCATTGAAAACGTTCCAGTTTATTAATGTCTTTCTTGGAGCCTAGAACATATTTTTTCCTTCTGCAGTCAACTCGCTTGGTAATTAGGAGGGAGCCTTCTATATGACAGTCAATGGATAACGCTGCTTTCATTCATTTCAAAAGTTATTAACCAAATAAATATTTAATGCAAGATTGTTAACAATTACATGAGCAATAAAGCTACTTGAATGTACAATTGTCTGTCAGTAGTTAATAACACAAGTCAGTATCTCCCGTATAATAAAGTTTTTAATTGCAGCTGATATTTAACAGTCACACGGAAAACATCCTTTGCTATACAAACTTTTGAGTAAAACAAAATAAAGGCATGTTTTACCATCCCACAAGCCAGACAGTCTCCCACAGTAGGACTGTTACAGCTTTGGAGCAATTCATTCTCCACAAGACCATGTCAGAAGATTGATATAAGAATTAAGAACATTGTAAGTGATCAGTGGCACTATTATACTAGACACAAACTTCAAGAACAGTTGTCTTGGTTAACTTTGGGATCCGTTACGCAGGAAGAAATAGCTTTTTGAACACGTCTGATAATTTGCTCCTTACACACCTTTTATACATTTTGCTTTTCTTAACAGTAACTGCTCCTTGTCATTTAACATACACTCCCTGACCACAAAAAAGATAAGCTGATATTTATTCTTGGTCTTCTGGCATAGAACAGCTAGCCAAGAAGTAGAAAAGACTACATGGAGGTCTCTAGGTCTATATTTCTAGAATAGTGATTTGCCTGGGATACAGTATAGCTGTTAAATACAATTGACGCTGCAGAGAACCAAACAACCACCTTCATTTAGAGCAAAAAGACAGAATATTTGGGGATACACAAGACTTCTGAGAATAAAGGGCACCTCTTAAATATATTTTAAAAAAAATTGTTGGGAAAAATCTTTTAAAATAAGATTATTCAGAAAGAATTAATAACTTCAGAATATACGAGTTGTAAAAACAATTAAAACAATTTCTTTACTCACTAAAAATGATTTCTGAAGATTTTGCACCTACAAGTACATACAAGAAACCTAAAAGCACAACTAAGTGAAACTCCCACAGAATCAGTTGGTTTATAGAACAAAATGTATACTAAATTCTCCAATTAAAAACCTGTAAAGTAGTTTCCGTGCTTTTTAACCCACCTTCCCACAGCAGGGAATTAATCCCTCCAGGGGGATGCAAACAAACTTCAAAGAGAAGATTATACCCAGACACTAGTACTGTACAATGTAATGTTTATGGTCAAATTTGTTCAGATTTTCTGGCACTAGAATCCAGGTCAGATGTGCAGAAACAAAGACTAGTTATTAAAAGGGCTCCTGCAGTTATATCAAATAGTCGTGATGGCATACAGCAGTAGGACAAGCCAAAACTGTATTCCAGTTACAACTCCTATGGAGGCTTTGGCAGTAAAGAGTTGCAGCTATTTGACTTTTGCTGATTGTAACAAACAAATACAGATATAAAAGGAGATAAGTGGCTTTCCAGACAATAAAATATAAAAATCCTTTCTATTGGTTCATTATACCATATATACAGTACACATATGATCATTTCACAAAAGATAAAAGGGATATTAGTTCAGTATATGTTGACTAATCATAATTATTTAATTCTGACATCCCTCCTTTTTGTAACATTCTAGAGACTGATCTCACACAACAATATCTTGAACTAAATTCTCAGATTACGAATTTCAACCTTTGCTTTTCCTGCTTATTTGATCAAGTTCATCAGGTTTAGAAAAAGTACAATCAAAATTTCACAAACATACTTACATGTTGATTTCAGCAGTTAAGGGATTTCTCTAGCATAAACGTAGGAATACTTGTCAAATAATATTATAGAAAAACACTTCTATGATTATGGCTTGATAACAATGTTTGGTAAAAATAGTTAACCAAATCATAAGCTGCTTTCCTGCCTTATTTCTAGATAAAATCATTTGATCAAAGGAAGAATTATGGGAACAGGTAAAAATACTTCTGTAGACAAGTAAGAAAGAGGAAGTAAAAATAAATTCCACACAAGAAGTTTTAGAGTATTTTTTGTTTTAAAACTACCCACTCCTTATATGAGCAGCAGACACAAATCTGAAAATTCATTTAGTTTTTCAACCTAATGAAGAGTTATTTCTATTTTAAAAAAGAGGCAAAACAGTCAAAGAAATCAGAAAATTGCCCACAATCAGGGACAGAGGCAAGAATTTCTCATTATTAGTCCTAACTGTAAAAGACTGCACAGAACCAGTGATTAAAATATCTTTAAAAGCTGGAATCGCATAATATTGAATATACTACATTATCTCACAGTACATGGTTCTTAAGAATAGTTTTAGCTAATGAATACTAGAATTACAGTGCAAAACAGTACCTTTCCCAATGCAACTGATTCCTGAATAGGTTACTTCTGCATACACTTCAAAGGTAGTTTCCGGATTTTGTCTGAAAGGAGGGGAAAAAAGAAAAAAAAAAAAGGTATTTAGCATATTGAGAATTTTTTTTCAAGTATGCTTTCAATTACTCAGTCAAAAAGGGTTCTAAGAATGCATATGTTACAATGACAACTTGATAAACTAGATTTCTTGTTTTATAGTCTATGATGATTTCACATCAGATCTTTCTGCCTTACTAGTATGTAAGAAGATATAACTGAAGCTCAGATGAGTCACTATGAACAGGGTGTCTAACAAACTTCTACAGAGAAAAAAAGAATCAAAACAATAGAAATCAAGCACACAGAACCTTTAAGTCAATTCAATTGTTGTGACTAGTCTGCATTTCTAGATACTAAAACATCACAGGCCTATCATTCAGAACTTCATCAGAAAAAGAAAACCATGCCTTTTAAATCACTTTTCAGAATGCTATTCAGAGAGAGAAACGAGTTCTTTCAGTTCTTGGCCACGATAGTAATTTTGATTATGTGTGCAACTTGCAAAAGCAAGTTCTTTTTATTTCACCTTTACTTTCAAATGACCAAGTAAGTCACCTACGTGCTAAATACAGGGATTTTTTTCAGGAAAAAAAAGTAATCCTGAATACTCTTTTCTCTTCACCAAACTGAAAACAGAGTCACGTTGTCCAACATGGGCCAAACAACCCAGATTCACATTTTCATTACTGTGACCCTTGAGTTCAACTTCACGACACGTATTTACTCAGGAAAAAAGGAAAAAAAAAAAAAAAAGCTGCAGTCAAGAGGATGCAAAGTCATTTTATGCATACATTATTGGAAAACTTCAGAGGCTGTATTTAGGATGAAGACAGTTCCCCTCTTCACTACCTGTCAAAATATTTCTACCTCTTTGTCAAAAAAAGGCCATGCTGAAGAATATTACAAATGCACAAGGTTTCACCTCATCAGACTCCAGAATCCTAAACCCAGAAAGCTGCCAGATGCATGCAAAATAAGGAAATAGGTGCGACAGTCAAAAATGACACCAAATTCAGCTACAAAATGTAAAGGAAGCTTGAGGAAAGAGACTCATTCTGCTCCAGAGTTATAAATATACCAGTAATAAAAGTAAAAAGTTAATGATATATGACTTAAGGAAAAAAAAAAACATTAGTGTACATTTTCAGTTCTTAATAACTCCAGAAGTGTAGCTCTGGAATTACATTTCATAAGGAGCATATAAAGGCAGCAGGTGATTGTATAAGAATGCATATTTTGAGTTAAATTCCTGACTCTAACAATTTTACCTACTTGAAAAATTTTTATGAGATTAAAGAGAATGACACATTAGACTGTAACTGTTTAGTTACTGAAATAAGTAACTAAACATAAGTAAGCATGTGACATTTTATTCTTAGATTTTTCTGGTTAAAACCAAGAATCAAAACTGCATAATTACTGCTCTAAATTTATGGCTGCTTGTATAGTGATAATACTGTCTCCTGTGTGTTAATGTAAACTATCTAACATTAGAAAATTGAGGTATAATTAACTTGGGCATTTTGTTAGCTCCCTTACAGCTAAGGATTAAAATAATGATAAAAAACCATATCATATATATATATGCACTAGAGTTCCTACCTGAATAATAATTTAAAAAATGAAACTCATCTTACCCAGCATCTCAAACCAAATATATAAACATGTCAAGCAGTTCAGCCTACTCTTCAGAGAATTGCTATTATTTTTAATCCTACTTTAACACCAAAAGGGATTAAACAAAACATTTCTAACCATGCCACAGGCCCATTTAGTGTAACTCAAGTGGCTCTAAGCCAAACCCCACACCTATTTAAATCAACAGAAAAGCTACCGTTGGTTTCAGTAGCATAGGTTCATACTCTACAGTTTCACAGAACACCTCACAGGAGCAACAATATGGTTCACTATTCAATTAACGTTAATTTAATTTGCCACCAGTTCCCAACTGATTTGTCTTAAGTAGCCATTTTTCAGAAAACTACATTCATAAGTAATGAGAAATCTAAAATCAACAAATCAACTATTATTTTGCAGTATAAAACAAACTTGCATAATCTCTCTATACTACTTAAGAGTTGTTGCATATAGTCTGCTTCAAATATTGAGGTTCTTAGCTACATTCCTACAATCACAGTATAGGATGAGGATGAAATGATATTCACATAACACCAGAAACATATTTTTCCTTTCACATATATTGCTGTGCAGCCTTATCTTACCCTCCTTGTTTGTGTCTTTATTTTTAGCACCATTTCCTTAATTAAAAGTTTATAAATTTTATAATATTTTTACAGCTAATGGGTAAAATAACAAACACCTTTTTAGTATTATGTTATAGAGTCTGTGTTCAAATGCTTCAGTGAAAACACTGTATAACACAGCTGGCAAGAGCGCATACTACATACCAAAACTTTCAGACAAAAAGACATCACATTTTGTGTTTTAATATTCCATGACAAACGTCCACTTATTTCTAGGAACAGTGAAATTAAAGTAGCTTTGCCAAGTCAGAAACTTAGTATTAAAGGCTGCATTCAACAAGCTAACACCTCAGTATGAGAATGAAGTCATTGTTGACTTCTGAATATTTTATAACTTCTCAGTGGAATTAAGGAAACAAGTCACTATGAGATTTCATACAGTTTGCAAATATAGCATAAACATGCATCATAATATGTATATTTTGCAGTCCATTTTTATGACTATTAAACTACCCTGCAGACATCTAATGCCACCTGTGCATTGTATTGAAACCTCAACCCACTGAAATCATCCACAGCATTATAACCTTAAATACACACACACACACACACACAAAGTTTTCTTTCCTCCCAATAATCACTTAAAGATCCATGGCCAGTTATTAAAGTGAACATACAGATGCAATAAAGAGAATACATAGAACATGTATGTACAAAAATACATAGTACCCCACTTAATTGGTAACTGGATGATTTCAGAAGGAAATGCAGTATTTTTTTGGAAATACAAGTTTAGGAAGGAGCTCTATGAGAAAAGAATGCTTTTATGATAAATGCTAGTTGAATTACTTCAAATCTCTCTGATGCAGAAATAGCTTTAGTATCAAAGCAATCCCTAAGAAATTCAATTTTACACTGAAGTAATATAGTATTTAAAATAAGGTATTTATGTACCTTTTACAACCAAAATTATTTTTTACCGAGCTGCAAGAGATTCATGCAGAATATAATTAAATAAAGTCCTTCTCCAAAGCTGTATGTATGGAAGTACATACCTTACATATCTAAAGCCCATTTCAATTTTGTCAGGAGCAATTCTTTCTACACATAGGAAAATGTACTAGCACTTACGACAGAAAGTATCATTGCACTTAAAAATTGAGGCATAAGAGAGGAGCCTGACACTGATAATTAGTTGTCTTGTAACAAGACTTAGTTGCTCAACTCTTGCAGGATAAAATTATTGGCAGAAATCTGTAATTGCTAATTCAATTCAGAAATTGCAGCTCAAACCCTGATTAATTTCCATGTGTTTAACTTTTTCTGCCTGGTATTCCCTAGGTAGATAATATTACATTTCAGTATACAGCAAACTTTATGTTAAATATCAGAAAGCATTCCCAGATTAATATTAGGGATCTCTTCCGTCATCACTGAAATACAATCACCTCTGAAAAGGAACATGCCAAGTTTTTTTATGGCGCAATGCAATTCTGTTAACAGATTGATATTGACACATTAGTTTAAAAAAAAAAAAAATCCTTTCTCTCTTGTAATGTCTTGAGTACTGAAGGCTAGCAAGAAGCGATAGCAGCCAGGTTAACTAGATTCCTATTTACAGTACGTCGCTGGCACACAGTGCCTTGCATGTACCATATAACACACTCCAACATGAAGTTTAATCCAAGAGTGTAACCCAATACTCAATTTGCCTTTTTTTCGCCTGCAGCCATGCACAAGCCAAAAGCTTGCAGGATTGTTGGCAACTTCTTGTTTTCTTTCACTTCAGTCTGATGCAGCTATTGGTAACCTCCTCTAAGCAGTCTTTCACTCAAATGACTCATTACTATACATCCATCAAAAATACCTGACACATATGTCCAGGTTTCATGCAGAGTATATCACAGTGTGTGCAAGTGACTATGTGTCAAGGAGTTTAATATCCCTCATAATTATCAATCTATAGCAAGAAGCAAGAGATCCAACTACTGGATATTTGCTAGGGCTCCAACACATATTGGTGACACCAATAAAGGAGGTATGCCTCAGTATACCCAATTATAAAATAGTTTTCTCATTCACGCTCCCGCCTGCCCCAATAAGGGACCTACTTATCAACTTGAAAATCTTTGCTGGATTAAACATCCAGCTCAGAAGCGCAGATGAGAAAAACCTCTTACTCATATAGGCTCTCTCATTCTTTATATATTTCAGGATCGTTTTGAAATTTTGTCCTTATTCTACTTGGGCACAGTGTTCTGTCTAAAGTGGAAAAAAGCAATTTATTAATTGTTGCTCAAGGCAAAGTTGCTCAATCACACAATGGACAAAACGCTTTCTTACCAAGTCCAAGAGGAATGAAAAGTAATGCTCTTATGGGGTTATCACCTGTGATTTCCTGGTGACAGAGAAAGACATGGGCTTTGTCTGTAAACATGAAAGACACGTTCACACTGAAAGACTGCGCAGAAGAAGTCCTAAAGTCCATTGGCTGTAATACTTCTAACTGCTACATCTCCTCACTGATACCAGTGAGGTTTCCAGTTGAAGCATCTCATCCAACTGATTACATTCACATTCAGCAAAGTGTATGCAAAGCCATTAAAGGTAAAATTAGCAGTGAAAAACCCAAAGATGGTAAACACAGCTTGTGGATTCAGTATGTACACAAAAGAAAACTACATTGTAAGTGAGCATCGGCCTTTTAATAGATTTAAGACAAGGTTATCATAAGAAGTCATTTCAGATCATGATCTTGAAGTGACCCAAGCAAGGGTGACCACTGCAAGATCCAAAGATGCAAGTTACAGATATAGCCTGCTCTGCTGTCAAAATAGTAACGATTTTGGGTTCTACCTGTATTTGAAGGTAAGCTAAGAGTTTAACTAGTTTCTCAGACTTTGATTTTTTGTAGCAACAGTTGAGAACCCATATGCCAAAAAAGTGCAAAAAATCATGGCCACAGTATCTCCCAAAGAATGAAGGTGGCTTTCTGGAACCAAACAATCACCTCAGTGCTATCGTTACAAGAGCTAATTACCTGCTTACATTATCCTAAAACACCTGGCTGGATATACACCTATTTATGTCTATCCAGCCTATGGGCTTGGGAACATGAAGGTGTGTCATCACACTAAGGACACTACAAACTACGTCTCCTCCAGTCTCATATTCAAGTTAAACAAAAGAGGTGTAAAGTTAAAGCCCTATGTAATCTTGAAGAATACTGTGTTCAAGAAGCAAAAGCAATTGCTCAGCAGCAGCTACCGAAACTGCTGAATAAAATACAATCTAACTGGATCTCTCCACTCTATCACACCTCTCATGCACAAAGATGTCAGCACCCCCTGCTCGGTGATAGCTTTATTACACCTCTACTTGTCTCAGAGGAACTGAATTTGCCTGGAATGGCATATAAACGAACTGAGATCTTTAATGTGACAATACCAAACATACCAACAGGACTTACCAATAAATCAACTCCCAGTTTTATGAAAATTAAAAATATATTGAGAGCATAGAGCTGCAGGCCCAACACGTTAATCACTTGCACCACTCCTTCCCCCAAATCCCCTTGCAAATGCACTTTTAAGGTATCATAGCTAGACTATCCATCTTTCCTTTAGCACGCTCTAACCTAGCCAAGGCGGCTCGGAACTCTCTCGACCCCACCACACCCCCAGAACAGACGTCACCAGTGCAGGCAACGAAGACTTTCCCATTCCAGCAGCCCCGATCCTCCCTATGGCCTGCACCGATAAAATTCAAACTGCCCTCTCACAGCCTGGCCCTACGCGCTACCACACGGAGACCAGAAGACGGGGAGAAAGAGAGCAACCACAGACCAGCGCCGGGTCTGAGGGCGGGAAACGGCGCTCTCCTCCCCTCCTCAGGGCACGGGGGACGGGGGAGCGCCCCGCCCCGGGGTCCTGCCGCTGAGTCGGGGTTTGACGGCTCGGGGCCCTCTGCCCCGCCGCCTCCTCCCTTCCCCGGCCCGCCAGCTGGCCTGGGGGGTGTGTGGAAGCACTCTTCCCCCTCCTTTCTCCCCCTCTTTCTCGCCCTACCCCGAGGCCTGCAGGCTCGGCCGGGGTCTCTCCCGCGCGGCCTCACAGGGAGCTGGACGGAGGGCGGGGAAGTCCCCTTCTCGCTCTCCAGAGCCCTCCCGCTTTCCTGAGGGCCTGCAAGGGGGGGGGGGGACGGGCCTGGGGGGCTCCGGGGGGGCACTCACTTGATCCTGGATCCCATGGTCTCTGGGGGGCCGCATAGACCCGGGCCAGAGAGAAAGAGAAAGAAAGGGGGGAAGGGGCCGGAGCTCGGTGGGCTGCGCTCTCTCCGCCGCTCGCCCCCTCACTCCATCCCGGCCAGCGCCGCCGTCGCCC